TTGTTAATTCTTTGTTAATATATAATAGAACCCAGCGCCCTCACTACGGCCCCATTATGCTGCATGCTACAGATACACAGGGGTACAGCAAACATGGTGAGCTTTGCTGCTTCCATTGTATGTATTAGTGATCCATCTTGGGTCAATACATTCCAAGACCAGAACACAAGGTATGGTTCATATCAATGAGATCTTCTAGAGCATAACACTCGAATTATTATTCTAAAGGATGTATACCGATCACATATTTTTAAGTTGTAGAGGTTTCTTGCAAAAGATAATAGTAAATATATTTTTACAATTATACTGTATATAGTTAAATTAAAGTCTTTGGTCCAGATACCAAGTTTCACAAAGTTTACTGTCAGCAGAACTCACGAGAGTGTAGGATACTGTGAAGCGAAGGTGGAGGGTAAGCTTGTTTTCCACTTCCTCAATCCTGGGCCTATGATGCCGGCTCTAAATTTTATAAGCTGCATTTGGTCCTGTAGAACTGTTGTGCTGAGGAGTTGGTGCAGCGCTATGCACTCTACCTTGTCCCCTTCATACTAAGGATGTGAACAACTAGTCGACTGTTCAATAAGTAAATGCTTATCGGATAGCTGACAGGCTAGTCGACTAGTCGTTTCCTCCCCTCCCCCTTGCTGCCTCAATCAGAAAGAGGCAGCCAGGTGGGGGGAAGAGGTGGGGGTACTTCACAGTAGCTCCTCGCAACGTCCGGTTCCTCGCGATGTTTCAAAGCGGCAGAGCCACATGGAGCCTGGGTTCAGCTGGGGACTCCTCCGCTGACTCTGGGCTCCGTGTGGCATTGCTGCTTTGAAACGCTGCATGAAGCCTGATGCTGGGCTCCCCACAGCATTTCAAAGCGGCAGCTGCAGCACTTCATAGAGCCCGGAGTCAGCAGGACTGATTCCGGGCTCCACGCGGCACTGCCACTTTGAAATGCTGCATGCGGTCTGACACCGGGCTCCTCACGGCATTTCAAAGCAGCAGCACTGCATGAAACCCAGAGTCAGTGGGGGAGTCCCAAGCTGATCCCAGACTCCAAGCGGTGCTGCCGCTTTGAAATGCTGCGTGCAGCCTGGGGACACCCCGCAGGGATAGCCTCACTGCTCCCCAACTCCAGCTGGAGGAAACAGGGAGAGCCAGGTGCTACGCAGCCTGGTGGTGAGGCTACCCCAGCAGGGACAGCCTCACTGCACCCTGGCACCAGCCGGAGCACAACAGGGGTAAGGCAGCCATCCATCACCCGGCCCTACCAGAATGCACCACCACCACTCACCTTCTAGCAGGTCCAGCAGGAAAGCATGTGGTGAGTGCTGCTGTGTGGCTGTGCAAACGAGGTGGGCGGACCTAAAAGTTTTTGTGCACGGCCGTTCAGGCGCGCAGCTTACAGGGAAACCTGCCCCCAATCCATTGTGTGATATTGCATAATCTGGCATTGAGCCGTACTGGAAAGAGGATATTAGTTTGTGAAGGCCAATTGGTTTGTTCTGATACGGCAATTCCTAAGTAGTCAGTCCCCATCCCTTTTAAGTCGTTTCCACTGTGGCCATTGCAGTACCTAAAATAAAGAGAGGTGACACTCAGTTTTTAAGAGCTGGAGAATCACGTCATCACATAGGGTTGCAGAGATTTAGCTTAGATCACAAGGTCCAGTTGTGTTTTTTTCCCTTTGATTCCATGTGTGACAATCACATGCCTGTGAGACACTTAACAGCGTCCTGATGTTGCGTGACATGATGTCATTGTACAACACACTGAATCTCTTGATCCCTCCTCCCACTTCCTTGTCAAGGAGCTGCCACACTAATCTCATAAATACCTTCCTAATTTCTAGTGAACTCTTGGGGAAATTGTTTGGGCTTGATTGTGGTTTTTAAGGCACTGGCTGTGCTTAGGAAGGGGAGTGGTCAAGAGAATAGGAAAGCCAGCGGAACTCCCAGAGGCAATAAAGCCTGAGGTAGACACAACAGGCCTGATACTCCTCTCGCTTATGCTAGTGTTATACTGAAGTAGCTCCAACGATTTCAGCTGATTTAGTCTTTAGCTCTGCTGGGACCCATGAGAAGTGAATTAGGTCTAGCACACACAGCGGTGGCATCTTCTGCAACTTTTAATAGGATGCATTGGGCAAATTGTCCCTTTCTTCAGCCTAGGTGTGTAGGCCAGAGCCCCGTCTTCAATGTAGTTCTTACTCATTTTCTAGTGCTGCCGTTGGTACTTCGTTCTCCTGGATCTGAAATCATGGAAACACAAGGAACTTCCTCTCTGTTTGCACTCCTGTAAAACTAGCACTAGGCACATTGTAGCCCTTTATGTGATTATCAGATGTCCCACGGAGGGAACTTAGAGGTGACCTAATGAGTCTAGTGGTGTATTTGGTACATCCTGTAAAATGACCCTTCGTGGTACACTCCCTATTTCATAGCCTGTACAAAGAGTTGAAGGGGATACTGACTGGTTGCAGCCACAAAGCTTTGCTGATCAAGCAGTTGTGGTCAATTAAAAAACAATTGGATCTTGTTTTGTGTTAATCGCTACCTTCTTTGGCAGGAATAACTACTGTGCTGACCATGTCAACCATAATCACAGGAGTAAGTGCCTCCATGCCTCAGGTGTCTTACATAAAAGCGGTGGATGTATACTTATGGATCAGTTTTCTTTTTGTCTTCCTGTCTGTCATCGAATATGCAGCTGTGAATTATCTTACCACAGCAGAAGAGAGAAAACAACTCAAAAAGAGAGGGAAGGTACAAACGTGTGTATGTGTTGTTGTCATTAGGCAGCCTCATGGAAGTCACAAAGTAATCCCAATACTCGAACGTGGCATTGCATTCTGTGACATGTGCTTTGACTGTTTGTCTGGTGACTCATTATCCATTCTTTCCTCCTCTTGGCTGATGGGAGGGAAAGTACCTCATCTGGATCCTGAGTAGGTCTACTGCCCCCATGTCCTTGAGGGAGGCGGGAGAAGATAAGGGGCACCTATTCCTATGGTGGTGGGAGTGAGTCTGCTCATACTTTCTCCCCTCCTTCTGGTCATTGAGAGGAAAAGCTTCCATTCATTTTTTCTCCCCCTATCTTTCTTCATTCTGGGATCCTGAATGGGATGGGATCTCCCCACATCCTAATGGCTAACAGGTTCTCCCCATTTTTGCTTCCTGGTGAAAAAGGGCTGTTTCTCCTTTCTCCCTTATTCCAGTTTCTTTTAGTTATTTTGATTGGAGCGAGAGGTCACATAGAATGGTTCTGTGTCCTGACAGATGTGATAGTGTTGTTCTTAGAATCAGATTTCCAATGCAAATAATCACATTTACAAGTTACAAAATGTGCTTTCCATTAACCTAATATTCACTTAAAATTCCTTTTCCCACAAACATTTCCACCTATAAACTCATTCGGTAGATAATCTGACGAAGATCACAAAATGGGGCTCATATAGTTCTAGTGAATTCACTGTTTTATTCAAGAGAATATTAATAAAAATGTTTTGAGGTGTTCTCCTAGTCCTAGTTAACATGTCCCTGCTGGTAAGCAACTCCCACAGGTAGATATTCACTTGGTCATGTTAGGAGGTAGCCACATTTTTTCCCATCCAGCACATCCATTAGCAGACAGAGCCTCCATGTGGATGATTATTCAGTGCATAGAGCTGTAATCTTTAGCACTCAGATGGCTGCAGCTTACCCACACAATCATTATTCTCCATTGCCAGGTTTCAGGAATGTATAACATTGATGCAGTACAAGCAATGGCCTTTGATGGCTGCTATCATGACAGTGAAGCTGACATTGACATGACCACCTTTACAGTCCACTCTGAAGAGAGCTCAGCCCGGGGACGGGCAGCCAGCATCCCCAACCTGGATGCAACCCGTGTAAAAAGAAAAAGATCCTTGAAAGGAAATGTGGGCAGGATTATTTTGCAGAATAATCACGTCATTGACACGTATTCAAGGATTATATTTCCCACTGTGTACATTGTATTCAACTTTTTTTACTGGGGTTTGTATGTATGAAAAGAAATTACTGTAATCTATGCACTATTTTGCATGTAAGGCTAACAGAATCTGTTTTTTTTTTAAAGTAACAGCAATAGAAGAAATGTTTACAATTTTCTTAAATTGATTCAGACATCAGTCAAGGGGATATTGTTCTGGTGACAGAAAAGTTATGAATTAAAAACCCAAATAGTTCTGGTTTCTTCACGTTCTGTAAGTTTTACTTCTGAATGTTAAGGTGGTTTTTAACTGGACCACTCAGTGCTTTACTATAGTAGCTTCATACCCAAGCAACTTCCACAGTTGCACAGGAATTTCCATATCAAAAGACCTTGCATCACACTGCTTAAACAGTCATTACTGTCAGCCCCAGTAAAAGAGATGTAAATGTATAATCTAGCATGCTGTAACATTCCTCCCTACTCTGCAACTCTGTTCTTCCCAATCTGTGACCCAGGTAAGTATGATACAGGCACTTTAAGAATTCTTCTCCAAATGTTTCTTCTCTGTCTTAGCTTGCTGCATTCCTGTTGTGCTAACCAGTTTACTATATTCATCAGTAGCCTTTGGGCTTGGATGGAGGCTTGTGGGCAGGGGGGACGATGTGAGAGAAATGAATTGGAGACCAGCCATAGGCAGGAAGTGAGCTGGATGGAGTTCTGTGCATTGTTTATCATTAAGGTCTTTACACAATCTCAAGATGTCTCTGACTTCCATGAAACCACCCATGTTTTGGAGTAGTCTTTTATCATCGTTCTTTGAAATGTTGAAGACAGTATGTAACAGTACGCACCCTGGGAACAGTATTTTAATGGCCTGGGGCAGTCTCTTAGCTGGATGCATGGGCTGGTACAAGAAGCAGACCTTTTACCATATTTCATGTCTCATTCATTTTGGACTCCATCTAATTCAGCCTCACACAAACCTGCTGTTCTCTTCCTGCGACCGTAAATTATTCAGATTGGAAAATTGAACTCTGAAGGCTGGAATTTTAGAAAACTTTATAAAAGGAAAAAATCCCCCTTGTTACATGAGTCTCATTCTTCTATTTTTTATTGTACACATCAGTTTGGATTTTTATTCCATGGAAGTTGAAAGTTACAGTGGGGAGATGCTGCGAATGGCTTCATGGTCCCAGGAGTCTGATTGTAGATCAAGGCACTGAAGATCACTAAGCATGAGAACTACAACATGGAGGAAATTGAAGGAAAAAGTTATGCAGAAGCATAGTCATGGTCTCATCCTGTCAATCCCCTGAAGGATCCTGCATGGATTTCCCTTTGTTCAGGCAATGGCATGTCAAATATAGGACATCAAGGCAAAAAAAGAAGCTAAACAACTGCAAAAAAGATTCAAGTAATTGTGGAATAACGTGTGACTTTCCCAGATTTGTAGCGCTCTCCATAGGAATTTTTTGTTTGTGTCTCATTAATAAAATGAATTCAATGTGGAGCTGTGTGCTGGTAGAAAATGTCAAAAGCTATATGCCTGCCACTGCTGTGTTAAATAAAGGAAATGGAAATAAAGTTGAAAACATGAATCACTTTCTGGCATGTATGATTTTACTGCTGTGATTCTACTTGTTCATAGAATGATGATCTCCTTTATAAAAAGCATGTCAAGACTCAAATATAGATTTGCAAAAAGTTGGTGAATCACTGCACACTGGGCCCTGGTCTACACTAGGGAGTTACTTTGAAATAACTCCCCTTATTTCGAAATAACAAGCGGAGCATCCACACTACCAAGCCTGTTATTTCAAAACAAGGGGCTGGTTAATAAAAAACAAAAACCCTCCTGCTTTACGTGAGGAGTAACACTTATTTTGAAATAGTTCTTTTGAAATAGTGGTAGTGTCGATGCTCCACTGTTGCTATTTTGAAATAACTACTCCCCATTGCTTCCTGTGGCTCTAAGTTGCGTAACACATCCACATTAAGGGAGCTTTCCTCGGACTAATTTCAAGGCTTCCCTCTAGTGTGGACACGCTATTTTGAAATACTTATGTTGGGAGTTTTATTTTTACATAAGTTATTTCAAAATAATTTCCTTGTGTAGACATGTCCTGAACTGATAATCCATGGAGTGAGTAGGTTTTTTTTGGCAACGACTTTACTCCCAAATAAATTACCAGCACTAATATTGTTTGATACTGTTCCAGGAAAAGCTGTCACGCAAAGCACAACTGTGCATTTGGAATAACAGTGTTGGTAAAGTAAAAATAAGAGACACAGATCCTACAAAAAAGCCCTGGTATTAGTATGCTAGGCCTCAGGCTGAGCAGATTTGTTATGTAAAAAAAAAGCTAGAACAGGATCCTTATTAAACACCATCACTTTCCACATATTGCTCACTCTACCCTGCACATATGTTCCAGTCTGTTTGAGATCCCATCTAATTGTTCCAGTTGTGTTTTCCCAAATTTTAAACCCTATGAACTACTGTAAAAACATCACTCGCAATACAAATTGTTGTCTGCTGTACTGGAACACATTTTCCCAGTAGCTGAAGGATAATTCTCAGCTGTCAGTTTACATATCATCACTGGAACTTCTTGATTGTAATTAATAATTCCTCTACTATCATTAGCTCACAGACATTTACCTCCCCCCCACTTTTCCATGAGCTCACAGACATTTACCGCCCCCCCCATTTTCCCCCTCCATCCCCTTTCTGTTCTGAAATTTGATTTGTCCTTTTCATATGTGTTCATTTTTTTAATTGTATCCTTTGGTATATATGGTTGTGACAATTTTCTTCCACTACTTGATCTGACGAAGTGGGTCTGGCCCACGAAAGCTCATCATCTAATAAACCATCTTGTTAGTCTTTAAAGTGCTACACCAGTGGTTCCCAACCTTTCAAGGTTGCCGGGCGCCAGGGGGCGTGGCTGTTCGCCC